ATGAAGCTGGCTAAGAAGTTTCCAAAAGAATATTGCGTGTCATTTGCTCTCATCTAATCATGTATGATAAGGTAAGAAACTTGAGCTGAAGAAGAAAGTCTTTAGTTTTCAAGCAGAATGTAAAGGAAATATAGAAGTCTTAGAACAGTCTCTCCAGCTGGCCAAAAAAATAAGAAAAAAATGTCAAAGAAGAAAATGACCTCAAAAGGGAAAAAAATCAAATCTGGGATTCTACCTATAAAATACGACCTCAAAGTCAAAGGTCGAGATTCAATCAAGGATGCAGCTGTAAGACCCTCTTTGTTAAGACCTCAGAGAGATTTAAGGTTGTGACTTATAGATGCTTCTCTCGGTCAAGCAAAGGGTTTCTAAGAAACTGAAGACATTCTTCCCAGAATTCTGACATTCTCAAAGTAGAGAGGGAACTGCAGAGGAATCATGGACATGACTTTGGGAGGCATGACATGAAATAATATATTTCATATAATAATATTTCTAGAAATTTGTTAGTGCTTTAAAGAAATTTTATTGGTAAAAGTACTGCCAGCTTTGAGTAAAAGGGACAGAGAGAGTTAAAAATGAAAAAATAATAATAATAAATGCTTCTGGTCCTCTAAACTAGCACAGGCAGGAACCAAGCTGAGAAAGCTACCCAAGGACAAACATGGGCTATTTTTTAGGGAAAAGGAAAGGTGATTCAGAGCGTCAGAGGGCAGAGACAAGAATCAAGAACAGTGGAGGAGTTCATAAGGACAGAACTGCGCTCTCATCAAAAAACTCATTCTGTCCTCGGAGAAGGGGGCACTAATAATATGTGCTCAGATAGAATTCAGAATTTCTGTGGACCAGTAATTTCTATGTGCCCTCCATTACCAACCCCACCTTTTCCGATTGGGAATGTCTATTGCAATTTTCCCAACCCTGCCTTATCATGATATGCTGAGTGTTGAGATGAGGATAATAAAACTTGTCTATTTAGTTCATGGGTCTTCAGATGAAGAGGAGCTATACGTGAAGAGCCCCATCCGCATCTAGACCCGACTTAAGATGACAAGATCTAGAACTTTGAGCTGATTGCTATAAAGAGATGAGAACTTTGGGTGAGAACATGAGAGTATTTTGTATAAGAGAGGGATGTGAATTCTTGTGGCCAGAAGACAGTGGTAGATTGTTTTAAAAAGATGGCTGCCAGCAATTTCTTCCACTGTTTACACATATTCTATTCCTTTACCAAATTAGACCCAAGCTTCAAGCCCATCCCTGGAATTAGGCTAGTGGTGTCAACATCACCTAATCATGTGGATGAATGGAGTATTCATGTTTTCCAAGAGGAGATTAAGGGTTCTATTAAGTGCTTATATAACAATTTCTTAAGCAAAGTCAATCATCTTTTGCTGTCTTCGGTACAACATTCTCTGTCCAGGTCTCCTCCTTCTTTGGAATTGGAAACCATATTTAAATGCTACATGGCCTACACAACTTTCGTTTTTGGATCTGCACTGAAGTGGGAGGATCTGAGGCGAGTTGCGGTAAGAACTAGTTTTTTTTTTACTCTCCTTATAGTTACCCTAAGCTACAGCAATTAAGATAATAGGTTATATTGCTCTTTCAAAAGCATTACTCCAGACCCTTAAATTAAAGAAAATATGACTTCCTCAATTTTAAAAACTGGTCATAAAGGAAGCATAGTAATTGATTCCCAAATCCTCCTTGATAAATATCAAGCAGATCTCACTGTTTACCTATATTTGTATTTAAATTATTTATTTCACTAAATTATGTATTTACCTAGAACAGTTTTATTTTCACAGTCTAAGAGAGCTGGAAAAATTATGGATAGAAAAAGTGTGTTCGATCTTAACATCCAAATAGAATTCTTACCAGAGGGCAGGTTTACCAACTCCTAAACATACTGATATGCCTTCTGATAGGAGAAACGTGAAGGAAAATAGTGGAGATCCCATTAAGGTTAGAACTAAAAGTAATGATTAAAGGCCAACCCTCTAGACAGCTTTCATTTAAGATCAAAGCCAGTTCTCTCTCATTTTGTAGGTTTCCTAGAATCATGTAAATCAAAGGTTTCAATTTTTTAAAGCAGAGATCTATAGAGTTAGCATATAGGTAGTTGTTTAAAAAGATGTTATTACTCATCACTAGGCATAAATTAATGGTTAGGATGATAGGAAAAAATATAACTATGCACTTTACCCATTTTAAAGCAATCTAGCTTCTATGCTGGAGACCCTGTGCCCTAGTCCATCTAATGTAGCCTTCACAGCCCTTGCAGCGTTTGTAGGACTATGATCCTGATGTAAATCATCCTCATCACAACTTCTTTCCAAGTATGTTCTCTTTTGTATCGGAAATTTTATGACAAAACCATAAGAAAACCAAAAAGAGGAACAGGTAATGAACATGTATTTCCCATGTAATGAACAAGATGGTTGCTGTTTAATCTTGAAGAATAGGTGGACTCTGCAGAAGCATGCCTGATTATAGCCAACCCTTTGTGCAGTGATTCACATGCTGAAGACACTTCAAACATTATGAGGTAAGAAGCTGGCACTGTGTTTTTTGTGTTCCAATGATGAATTTATTTCTGCTTCTTTTAAAATAAAGCCCAGTGCATAGGACTAAACAGGAGAAGATGTCATCTATCACAGCACTAGGTCCATCATATTCCAGGTTTCTGCCTATTTTTCTGCCCCCTAGAGAATGTGCAGATGTATGAAAAAAAAGTAATTTAGTATCCTGAATATCTGTGTGCTCCTCTACATACTTTCCTGAAGTTTCATATGGATAATAGCTATCTAAATTTAAAAAGCAAGCATTTAGATAACTGATAGCTGTTCAGATAGCACCATTATAACTAACATCCTCTCTCCCTCAAAAATAAAGATGCCATTGGTTATCTGTAAACCTTATTAGTAGACTTTATTTACTGTGTTTTTTCCCCCAGTAGTTCTGGTGAAAGATTATGCAAGATTCAATATGATGTGATTGTGACTTTTGGCGAGTATTTTCAAGACGGCTAGAATTAGTATTATCATCTTTAATTGTAAACTATCTATGAGCAGGAACCTGACTTACAGTAACAGATTCAAACTGTGATGGCAATGGCATTGTGCCTAACCCAGATGATTTTCTGACCCTTGGAGCAAAATAAATATACATAGCTAAAGGTGACTCTACAAGTTGTAAAAAACAGCTAAGAATTTGTACCATGCATAATACAGTAAATATGAGATAGACTATAGTTTCTTAATTTGTAAAATGAGAAAATTGAATAAGACAGTCTATGAGCTACTTCAAGCTACAGACAATAATTCAATCTCTAGTTTTTCCTGTAACTCATGTGTTTGAGTTTGAAGGCTAAATATATGAAACTGTTTATTTCTTCTTCATGAATTGACCCCAAATGACCAGTCTCCTAATACCAAGAGCTGACTTTTCCATTGATTTATTTTACTAAGTCACCAAAACAATAGCACTCTCAAATAGGTATGCTATTAAACAGAACATTTTTAGATAACAGCATAATGATGAACTTTATAATATGCCATTTTAGTATACTTACCCACACATCAATTTAACTCTGAATTGAATTATATTGCAAACCCATTGTATGTGGCACATCACTGATGAGCATGTTTGTTGTCTACGTAGGGTGCTCTCTATCAAGAACTATAACCCTAACACCAGAGTCATCATACAGATACTTCAATCCCATAACAAGGTACTGTAACTTTCTAGCTTCATCTTTTAGTCTGTGGAGCTAGCTGAACTTAGTTCATCTAAATAGATGAATTTATTACTTTCTAATGATTTTACTTTCTAATGATATTACTTTGGGAAAGATTTTGCCAGTTGCAGGCAAAATTTGGAGTCTCATTAGGATTGTTAATCACTTAAGAACGTAAATTCGGAAAGAGATATAGTTGTATATTTTAAAAGCTTCTGCCTGAGGCTCTAACTTCCAATCAGCTTGAATCTAGGTACTGACTGAGATTCTTTGCTTTGGGACAGTGACAGGTCTTGGCACACTCTCAACTACTAGGAGCCACTAAAAAGAAAGTAGGCTGATTAGGCAATCATAAAGGTTTGAGAGACAACCAAGAGCTAGGTCAGGGTTAATCAGTAAGGTTCATCTTCTACACAAAGTCATTCTTTAAGACTAGGAGCAGTCGATGTTTTCTCTAACACAAAAACCAACACAGAGCATCAAGGAAAATGAACAAATAGAAATATGTTTTCTAAATAAACAAACAACAACAACAAACTAAGATAAAGCCTCAAGAAAAGACCTTAATGAAAGAGAGATAAGTGATTTACCTGATAGAGTTCAAAATAACTGTCGTAACAATGCTCACTGAACTTGGGAGAAGAATGGATAAAGAAGGTGAATATTTCAACAAAGAAATAAAATAGAAAATATAAGAACTTACCAAATAGAAGTCACAGAATGGAAGAATACAATAACTGAACTGAAAAATAAAATAGAGGGGTTCAACTCAAACTAGAAGAAGCAGAAAGGGTCAACAAACTATAATATAGGCAGGGTAGTGGAACTCACCTAACTAGAGCTGCAAAAAGAAAAAAGAATGAAAAAGAGTGAAGATAGCTTAAGAGACATAGGAGACAATATCAAGTGGACCAACAGTTGCATTATAAGAGTCCCAGAGGAGAAGAGAGAAAGAAGGGGGCAGAAAACTTATTTGAAATAATGGCCGAAACTTCTTTAACCTGGGGAAAGAAATAGACATCTAGATCCAGGAAGCCGGAAATTCCAAATAAGAGGGACCTAAAGAGACCCACACCAAGACACATTATAACTAAACTGTCTAAAGTTAAAGACAACCAAAAGTTATTTATTTGAGACTTTTCTTGTTTCTCAAGGTAGGTGTTTGTTGCTATGAACTTCCCTCTTAGAACTGCTTTTGTTGCTCCCAGAAGTTTTAATACGTGGTCTTCCCATTTTTATTTGTCTCAAGGTGTTTTTCTCTTTTAATTTCTCCTTTGACTCAGTTGTTTAGTAACATGTTGTTTAAGCTCCATGCATTTATGAATATTCTAATTTTACTTTTGTAATTAGTTTTTAGTTTTATACCATTATTGTCAAAAAAGATGCTTGATAAGATTTTCAATCTCCTTAAATTTGTTAGGACTTTCTTTTGGCCTAACGTATTATCTACCCTGGAGAATGTTCTATGTGCACTTGAGAAGAATGTGTATTCTGTTGCTTTTGGATGGAATATTCTGTATATGTCTGTTAAGTTCATCTGGTTCAACTTGTTTTTTGTTGATTTCTTTACATATGACTTATCCATTGATGAAAATGGAGCATTAAAGTTATTATTATTGGTTTATTACATGATGAAAGTGGGGTATTACAATATTATTATTTTATTGCTGTCTCCTTCTCCTTTTAGGTCTATTAATAAATGCTTTATGTATTTGGATGCTTCTGTGTTGGCTGCATAAATATTTATAAATGTTTCATCCTCTTGTTGGATAGACTCCTTTCTCATTATGTAATGACCTTTTCTGTCTCTTATTATAGTCATTACCTTCAAGTATGTTTTGTCTGATAAGTATAGCTACTCCAGCTTTCTTCTGGTTTTCATTTGCATGGGATATTTTTTTCCATCCTTTCACTGTCAGTATATGTGTGCCCTTATATCTGAAAGGAGTCTCTTGTAAGCAGCATATAGACTAGTCTTATTTTTTAAAATCTGTTTAGCCACTCTATGTCTTCTGATTAGGGAATTTAATATATTTATATTTAAAGTAATTATTGCTAGGTATTTACTTATTGTCATTTGTCAATTGTTTTCTGGCTGTTTTGTAATTCCTCTGTTTCTTTCTTCTGTTGCTCTCTTCCTTTGCGATTTGGTAATTTGCAGTAGATCTTAGATTCCTCTGTATTTGACTATCTACTATTGGTTTTTACTTTGTGTTTACTTTGAGGCATATATATATAAATAACATTTGTAACAGTCTATTTTAATTTGATAATAACTTAAATTTGATCACATTTTAAAGCTCTACATTTTTACTCACTTTCCAACATTTTGTTTTTGATGTTACAGTTTACATCTTTTTATCTTGTGTGCCCATTAAATAATTATTGCAGTTATAGTTATTTTTGTTCCTTTTGTTTTTTAATCTTTATACTAGCTTTGTAAGTGTTTAATCCACCTCCTTTATAACATTAGATTATTCTAAATTTTACTGCGTATATGCTTTTTCTATATATTTGTCTATACATTTGCCTTTACTAGTGTAGTTTATACTTTTATGTGTTTTCCTGTTAGTAATTGTCATCCTTTCATTTCAGCTTAAAGAAGTTCTTTTAACAATTCTTGTAAGGCAGGTCAAGTGGTAATGAACTCCTTTGGCTTTTTTTCTTGTATGAAAATCTCTATCTCTTCTTCAATTCTGAATGAAAGCTTTCCTGGGTAGTATATTCTTGGTTAGCGGTTGTTTTTTTTTTCTCCTTTCAGTACTTTGAATATATTTGGCCACTCCCTATGGTCTGGGAAGTTTCTTCTGAAAAATTTGCTAGTAG